AATTTTTCTTTTTTTTTTGTTTGTTAAAGTAAAAAGGTATATCTGAATTGGAAAGTTTTAAATAACTTCTTGTTATTTTTATTAGTAAAATAATATTTTTAAAAACTAAAACTAAGCAAAACCATAGTAGAATTTAAATTTTCGAACGTAGACTATTAGCGGGAAGACTGCAGTAAACTTTTGAAGGTCACATTTGCTATCTATTAATAAAAAATTAATACTAGAATAATTAATTACACTATCTTAATTCTAATTCCTAATACATTGTGTCTATTAAACAAAATACCTAACATTTATATTCCACGAAATTATTATAAACGTTTGCAATATGTCGGGTAATTAACAGCCGTAGCAAAGATCTGCGTTTAAAGTGGGTCGCGAATAAATCTACCTAACATATTGTGTTACACAGACTATCCGAGATAATGTACAGAACACGTGTCTTATATGAAGTGAATCTTTGCTATTAAATGTGCAAAATATTAAAATAATCGTTTTTTATAACCGTGTTTACTTTTTCGTAAATTGTGTTTGTTTCTGTGTGTGTGTCTTGATTCTTTTTATTATCCGTCTGACAAGAGTTGATGTTTTTATTCTTGAGGAATGGTATGTATAAAAAATCTTTTTTTTTCGAAGTTTTCGTGCATATTCCAAAATAAGAAATGTCACATAAAACATTATAGTTTATTTCTTTTTAAATTAAAAATTTCAAAATCGTTGTTCCAAAACGCGGATAATAGATGGCGCTATTTCATCTATTGTTTATTCAGTCGCTTTTTTAATGAAGATTAGGTTATTTTTTAATTAATTAGCCCTTGCCTTATAACAGTAATTATTTAATATTAGGAAAATTTATTTTCCGCAAATCACGTAATTGTTATTCTTTTTCCTTGCATTATGTGAAATGTTTATGTTTAATGAATTTAGCGAAGCTTCTAACAGATGCATTTATTTTGGGCGCGTTCGTTTTAATTTCGTTAACGTAACATTAACTCTGCCTTAACTATGGATAATTTATTTTAGCGATGATCAGGTGAACGCGTCGATTATATACATTACCATTAGACGTCAAACTTTACATAATTCATTCATACTTTAAAATTGCAAAAAATCCTAACCTCAAAAATTTTAAAGGTTACATTTTGTTTACAAGATTCATTTAAAATGACTCTTCTAATTTTTAAATTATTAGTTCAATTTATAATATTGATGTGATACGAAATATCAAGTCCGTTTATAAAATTATTTAACAATCCACTGCGACATATATTACTAATATTAAAAATGCGAATGTTTGGATGGATGGATGCATGTTTCTTAGAAGGTATCTCCAAAACGGCTCAACGGATCTCGACGTAATTTGGCATAGATGTGGAACAAGTCTGGAAGAACATATAGGCTACTAATTAAGTTTTTTTTTTAATTCAACGAAGCCGGAGTTAGGCGACAGTTAGTTAAATATATTACGTATCAGCTTACGAATTATTTACCGGACATATTTATCAATCGGTTGAAACAGACACAAATAACAGAGTCATTTTAAGCGATTTAACGCTCGTAATACACTTTATACGAACATCAAACAAGAAAGCGGTTACAAATTCACTTTAAAGTTCTATAATAATATATTTCAAAACTGATTTAGTATTAGAAACTACTAATCATTAACGATAACTTGAATAGCAGCGTACAGTCAGCTACATAAATATGTTTACATTTACAAAGCTACGAAAACTAATATACACGCATACGTCGTATTCTTCCGACTATGATTACACCTTATAATTTAAACCGAGTAATTTTTAAACTGAATATTTATATAAGTTTCTAAAGTTTTGTGAGCATGCGTGTGTATGCAGCTGACTGCACAAAAAAGTCTGCACAGGACGCATAGAAAGGGGAAACATGCTCTTTCTATGCATCCCTTGCTCTTTAAAGGTAGGGCAACGCATCTGTAATTGCGGATATTTATGAGCAACGTTCGAGCCTCAGAGAGCCTCAAGTTGGGGAATCAGCTTTCCATAAACTTATACTAAAACATACTTCTCTGTATTTACAAAGAGACCGTGAAGAAAACTAACGATAAGATGGAGTTACAATTGCGACAAATGAATGGATTGGTTGAGGAAGTACGGGGATTGGATATAAAAACTTACAAGTGTCTATATTTATTATACAAGGGTGATTATGTTAAGAAAAATAATTGCGATAACACCTTGCATTAGTCAGCAATCATTAAAAGTTTCCAGCCGTTGAAGATACTGAAGCTATGAGTCATAATTATTTTGCTCCTCGACTCTATAAATACATATTTTAGCATTCCGTTGTATAAATGTACCGTGGACAGAGATTAAAGATTATTTTAATTCTGTAAAATTACCTATAAAATTATATTTAACTATAACAATAACAAAAGACAAATAACATTAACATGCATTATTCTGATAGTCGTATCGGTGAATGGACTGATAGCGAAGAGTTTCGACCAACATCTCAAGAAGCTCTCGCTAAACAGTTGGATTAAGGGCCCGATACAAAAGGCAGTTATCCTAGAAACCGCATACATCGTGAGAAGGTTCCTGTCTCTGCAGCCCTCACCACTGGTTGTTTGACTCCGCAGCCGGTGGTGCTATATTTTTAATATAATATATAATATTTTGTATAATTTTTAATTTTTATAAGAACTGTAATATATTAAAAATAAGTTTAATAAATGAATAAGTATAAGACAAATAATAATATTCTTTAGGGAATCGTGTTTTAATTTTAATGCAACAGTTAACAGCCTGTTGTCTTTTGTGGCTAATTTCTACTAGCAACACTACCTCAGTTTTTCTTAATTTCATTAGATCCTGAATTTTGATCGAATGTATGTATTCAAAACTAAATAAACTAGACTGATTATACTAATATGTTTTATCATTTTGTGTGAGTTGTATTTAACTCAATTAATACACAAATAACCTAAGAGTGGTAGAGCCCGCTTTAACATCTTCGCACGAATCGGCCCGGCTCGCCCGGTGAAATACCACGACCACACAGAAGACAGATGTCAAGTGGAAGCAATTCTGCATTTCGTCTGATGAGTTAGCGTCCCAGAGGCCTAATTTAGTCCGCTTTCCTTCCCATTACTTTTTCCTATAAGGAAAGGATGGGAAGTGGAAGTGGACTTTCCGGATAAGAGGATGCATGGAAAGGGAAGATATTTTCTTTCTGTTTCTCCTCCGTCGATTAAAGGTAGGCAACGCATATGCAATTGCGTAAGTCTATGGGTAACGGTCACTTCGCTATTTCAGCGATTTTAGGTGGCCGGTATAAAAAACATATTAAAATGAATCATTTGCGTGAAATACGATAGAAAATAAATCCATAATTAAATACTCTATTCATTCATAAATTCAGTTTGAGATTTTTATCTTTAATACTTTGCAAATTTTATTAAAATGACATCTGTTTTTAATATGTTTGAATATCAAAAGAAAAGACATTTTAAATCATACTGTATAATTAAAACAGAAGGAACTGCCTCACATGAACGTATCAATAACCCATCTGTTATTACTAATCTTATTTCCACGTAAAATTATTTTCATCTCTTTCCTTTTCATAGAAAACAATAAAGATAACAAAATTATACAATTTTTTTGACAGTAGAAACCCAAGTTATCACTGAATTGCGATGGTCAGGACAACTCCTGTCGTAAGATCCATAAGAGCGTTAGTGATATCACAGGATATGAAAATATATTCATCTTAAGCTATTTGTAGATTTTACTACTTGAAGTATTAAAGATTTGTAAAAATGTCTACGACTATTCTATTCTACGGTTCCGAATTCTTAATTAAGATAGCATTTCTGTGACTCTGTCAAAGTCAATGTCGTATTCGAAATTAATGCAGAGGGTAATCTGCGCATTTATGTAAGATAGAAATATAACTGTTATAACTCTATTGTTATGCAAATTATTACATACTATCCTATATACATCGTGAGAAGGTTCCTGTCTGCAGCCCTGACCACAGTTTTTTTTTTATATCATAAGGTGGCAAACGAGCGAGCGGCCATCTGTAATCGCTGAAATAGCGAAGTGACCGTTGCCCATAGACATACGCAATTTCATATGCGTTGCCTACCTTTAATCGACGGACGAGAGGATGCACAGATAGAAAACATTTCTATGCATCCTCTCATCCGGAAGGTCCACTTCCACTTCCCATCCTTTCCTTATAAGAATAAGGGTGGGAAGGGAAAGGGGACTAAATTAGGCCTCCGGGACGCACATTCATCAGACGAAACGCGGAATTGCTTCCACTTCACGCCTGTCTTCTGTGTGGTTGTTTAAGTCATGGGATTCCGCAGCCGGTGGTGTTCTGTTTTTAATTATCCTATTATTTTTAGTTTTATTAATTACCGTGTTTTCTATAAAAAGTGTTCAGATTTAAAATCTTAATCCTTTTTTATTTTTATTACCTTACGAGGATTAAGTAAACCATTTAAAAGTTTATTACTTTTATATCGATAAAATAGTAATAAGAGATATCGTAAAAATTTACGCGGATATAGATCGTATGTAACAGCCGAATAGTGAATGTAAAACACATTCATTTGCACATATCTGTGTATTTAGGTATGTTTTCAATAACCGCTGTAATACTTTATCATGGTTAATTTCATTTTATAAACATTGATGTAATAGATAAGATACGGAAGGGCATAGAGTTCGGATGGTGAGCGCTCGACGTCCGCGGCGAGCGCGGTAGCAGTGCGCGGCCACGCAAAGCAGTCGCTCCAGTGAAAGCCAAGCCCGTCTGAAAGCGTCGCCCGCCCAACGGCCGGTGGCCCGGCGGCGCGCATCCGCCTAAAATGGGGTGATCGGGCGTCGTGGTGTCGTGTTCCCGGTATAAAAAGCAACCGCGCTCCCCGCCGCCGGTCAGAACGGCTTCAAACGTAAGTAGGCACGCACGTGCACGCCCCGTGCGATTGTGTTATCGTGTACCGCGAGTGTCCGTGTGACGTCGAACGCGCCAGCTGATTTGCCGATTGGATTTGGATTTTTGTGCGAGTGGTCTCTCCAGTGGATACCGTTTGTTTATTGATCGATGGTGATGGTCGTTGCGCGTTGAGTGTGAACAACAGTAAACGAAATAGTAAATATTACCAACGAGTTCGAACCGATTATCGTCCCGCCCAGACGCCAGTAACATTAACACAACACGACACACGAATAACAACAGAGGTACAGTCATACATTATACTCTCGATTGAACAATTAATTGAGCGAAAGAGGCGGAACGACAATCGGAATTCGAATCCATTAGCCATTGCCATAAAAGACAATAAACAACAAAGCACGATCGAGTAAATCCGCTGGCGGTGTTCCAGTGCGCTCCAGTGACGTAACATCCGCGTAGAGCCGATCGGGATAGCCAATAAAAACGAACGCACGAAAGTCGGGTATTACGCAAACGGCGTCCGCGCTGGCATCGTTCCCAAATCGGCCTCTACTCGGGTTACGGCCACAAATAGCCGCACGGGCGGGCGCTGCGGCGGCACTCGATAGCGGCCAGTCTAACGCGCTGTGCTCCACAGGAAGGCTCCAGGGCTGTGTTCTCGTGTCTCGACTAGCCCAAAGTCTCGTTAGCCCTCCGAAATGCCGAAGCCACAAGTACAAGAGGGCGAGGACCCCGATCCGACCCCGTACCTGTTCGTTTCTCTGGAACAGAAACGTATCGACCAAAGCAAGCCCTACGATGGCAAGAAAGCTTGCTGGGTACCAGACGAGAAGGAGGGCTTCGTGCAGGGTGAAATTAAGGCCACCAAGGGCGACCTGGTGACCGTCAACCTCCCCGGAGGCGAGGTAATTATGGCAGCAAGGATAAGTTAAAGTTACTTTCAAAATAAGTTTATAAACTTAAACTTAGATAAACTAACAGTTCACCACTATTGAGAGATTAAATTAAATCTAATGCAATTACCCCATGAAAAACAGTAAAGCCTTTATGAGGATATAGAACATAGATATGGAAATAACTTTCTTAAAGACAATTAAAAATAGAAACAATATTAGACTTAATTAAGTGAATATACTGCTATCAAAGATAACTTTAATTTTTATTTTAACTTAGTACTATCATTAAGGAATAACTTAAGGGGAAGTGCACGTTTGTAAACACATACTTAATGCATTTGTTGAATGAGCAGGAGAAGACACTTAAAAAGGACCTTCTATCACAAGTGAATCCACCGAAATTCGAAAAAGTCGAGGACATGGCGGACTTGACTTACCTTAACGAGGCCGCTGTGCTGCATAACCTCAGACAACGATACTATGCGAAACTCATCTACGTAAGTAGGCGCGAAAAGCGCCTTTACCACTATAGTAATAATGACGATAATATCTTTCCCACAGACCAAAGACTTCAAGAAGGATCTTGTAGCTCAAGTGAACCCGCCTAAGTACGAGAAATGCGAGGATATGTCCAACTTGACATACCTCAACGACGCTTCGGTTTTGTATAACTTGAAGCAGAGATATTATCATAAGCTTATCTACGTAAGTCAGGACTCGGCAGCGGTTGCAGCGTTCAAGTGTGCCCCGTCTCTCCACGTGCATGACTCCAAGCAAACTTCTCTTTCTACATCTACTCTCACATACTTGATTTGCGACCAAAACTTAAAGTAACTTCTAAGTTTGAAACTTAATTTTAGACTTTACATGTTCAAGTTTAAAAAAATATTGTTTGAAGAGAAACTTCAGAATAATTCCTTGGAAAGTTAAGTTACCAGGATAAATAACCAATAGTTTAATTTTAAATCTATAATTTTTATCAATAAAACAGAAAAACTTTTACAATCAACGCTTCATAAGCGTATTTAAAAGCAAAGTGTAATCAAGTTTTTACGTCTCTATTTATAACTTGTCTTAATTAGAACTTGAATTTGATTTGATGTACAATTAAGAAATTAGTACATCCAAACTTAATTTATATTCTACAACACAATTAGACAAGAAACTCAAAAGAATAATATTAAGATCATTTTGTAAGAATTTGGGAAAGTAAAAATTAACAAAGGTCGCATTCAAGTTTCCATTCCCTATCAATCCATTTCAGATTCACAGCCGATCTTGAACCCTTTTACACAGGACAAGTCGGTCAACGGACAGCTCGGCGTCTAAAAAACAATTCTTCTTAGTATAGTTTTCTCAGTGTTGTCATAGTTTTTTCTTCAGAAATTGCCGTGAATTTCTAATGACGTTACAATTTTATTCTGTATTGCCATCTCTGTTATTTTCTAAAGAGAAAGGGATGGCAATATTGTAACATTTACGAGCGTCGAGATTCACTGTTATTCTGAGTGTTTTCCAGACATTGGATATTATGACGTCCTTTGTTATATGTTATTGTGTTTTAACATAGTATTTTGTACAGACATATATTATTGTTTATATTATAATAAATATACTTATCAATGTATGTACAGAATATTTTGTTTATAAACTTTCTTAGCACATAGAGGGAAAGTATCATTACAATACAATCTCTGTGCTGGTGTGGTCATTTGAGTTGTTTTGTTATTCAGTTGTTCCTATCAATTCCCACTGCCGTAAGACTTGTACAAAAATATATTTTATCTCTGTTTATTCAAAGAGGATAAGTGAGATGACAGGATGTTTTTGTATATCTGTTACGTCAGTGGAAAATAGTAAGTTTCATAAATAAATATCGAATGTTTTTTAAAATATTTATCATGAAACTTTGGAATTTTTTACGTGTTACCATTATTACGTGTCGAATATGTAACAAAAATGGTCGTGTAAAAGCTAAAGCAAGAGCGTCCCTTCCTAATATTAGTACAGCAAAAAATTAGTCATAATCTTAGGATAGTAAAAATTGCCCATTCCAGTCACATTGAAATAATAATTTGAACAGATACATTAATTTAACGATTTGAAAGTCAAGAAACTAAAATCCAAAAAGCATACCCACGACCAATTTTCGTTACAAATTTCTCATTAAATTATTGTCTTCACCAGTACTAATGTTCATATAATCAACAGACTTACTCGGGTCTCTTCTGTGTGGCCATCAATCCCTACAAGAGGTTCCCCGTGTACACGACCCGATGCGCCAGGCTGTACCGAGGCAAGCGTCGCTCGGAAGTGCCGCCTCACATTTTCGCCATTTCCGATGGCGCTTACGTAAACATGTTGACCAACCACGAGAATCAATCTATGTTGATTACGTAAGTTATTATAACTTTATGAAATGCTACTTCAAGAAATCTTATACATTAAGGTTCCATACCTCGAAAGGAAAAAAACAGAACCCTTAGGATCACTTTCTCGTCCGTCTGTTTGTGTCTGTCAAGACCCTTTTTCATATTTCAAAATATTTAATGCAGAAACAAAATTTGAAAACACCAAAATAATCTCAAACCAATCCCCATTTTATGATCTTTTTACATTAGTAAAATTAAGGAAAATACAAAAGTTTACTTCTAAAAATTGAGGTCAAAAAGTTTCTTGTCAAAACTTAACACGACACTTGGAACCCCTGTTTTATACAAAAAATAACTCAACAGCGGTGAGTCTGGTGCCGGAAAGACTGAGAACACGAAGAAGGTAATTGCGTACTTCGCCACCGTCGGTGCTTCGCAGAAGAAGGACCCGTCGCAAGAGAAGAAGGGCTCCCTTGAGGACCAGGTCGTACAAACTAACCCTGTTCTTGAAGCCTTCGGTAACGCCAAGACCGTGCGTAACGACAACTCTTCCCGATTCGTAAGTATCTTTTTATACAATTTAAACCTTAGTCATAATATTTTTTTTAGTAATTTTACCTTGTTGATTCATTTAAATGCGATACAGTGATTCTTGACTTTATGATATGTTCAAATAGTTTCTTTTCACAATCTTAGTTCGTGATATTGACATATAAAATGTGCCCTCGAGAGTGTTTTGATGTCCAATTTATGTTTGTATCTGATACTAAAAGATCTTTTCTCTTCTTCTCCAGGGTAAATTCATCCGTATCCACTTCGGACCTTCTGGTAAACTGGCTGGTGCTGATATCGAGACCTGTAAGTTCTTCATCACCTGAATTAAGTAGATTTTGACTTAATGAAGTTTGTACTTAACTATGATTTTATTCTTTTTCGCCAGACCTGCTTGAGAAGGCTCGTGTCATCTCCCAGCAAGCCTTGGAGCGTTCTTACCACATCTTCTACCAAATGATGTCCGGATCCGTCGCTGGCCTTAAGGGTGCGTATAGTCAATATACAAATTGTACAAGAAATATTAAGTTTTATAATTTATTTTGTAAACTAAATTGTCATTTATTATATTTGTAGTAAAGTTCAATTTGTTATGTTCAGTTTACTTTTAAGGTGATATGTTTTTTATTAGTTTACTGTTAGGTTATGAAATTATTTTATTAAGTAGATTAATTTTGAATAGAGAAACTATCACGTACACTATACAAACACCTGTGTAACGAGACTGCCCCTACCGATTTACCATGTAGTACCCTAATAATTTAAATTGAGTTCCGCCATTTAGACATGTGTCTCCTGTCAAACGACGTATATGATTATCACATCGTATCGCAAGGAAAAACCACCATCCCGAACGTAGACGATGGAGAGGAATGTCTATTGACTGATGTAAGTTGAGCCTCCAAGAGACTTGGAGTGCTCTGACGACGATGCAATGTGTTCATTGGTTACTTCTTTTGTACCGCGCGCCGCACGCAACCGGCGCGCGGGATACAGACTATATCTCGCCCTGGAACGGCCTGAGATGTTTAGAATAGTTTATCCGTTGTATTAGAGCATGTTCACCCTTTGAACCCTTTAGTTGAGCACCAAATACCAAACGTGACTGTAAATGGTGTAATTTTATAGCAATCTGCTTGTTGTCCAACAACGTCATGGATTACAACATCGTATCCCAAGGCAAGACCGTAATCCCCGGCGTCGATGACGGCGAGGAAATGAGGCTTACCGACGTGAGTCTAGAACGAGACTGATGGCTCATCTCATTGTGCAAAAACATTTTTATCTGTCGACTTCTCTACTTCATTCCGCTTGCTTCGCTTACGGCCGCACCGGTCTTTGCATGTGTATGTCAGATGATTTCGTGTTTACAGAGTTAACGATGCTAAGCAACCGCATCGGGGACTATCCCCTCATTAGTCAGGGGAAGACTCGGATACCTGGAGTCAACGATTCCGAAGAATTTGATAAGACGCTCGTAAGTTGCGAACTTTCGCATGGAGCGCGCGTCTCGATTGGATTTTTCGGACGTAGTCCTGTTATCACCAAATTTCTGACATTCACATGATTGCTCGCTCCTTGCAAAGGTTCAGATGGGCTTATTGCACAGGTTTTTATATCACGATATATATTACGCTCCTTCCCTGTCCAGCACCAGCACCCCCCACAGTAATATAACACCGACACAATTACAGGTGAACTATTTGAAGAGTACGGTTAGGTTAGCAGATATCGGAGCGTCTAAAATAGTGTTTTGTTTAACTTTAATAAAATTATTTTGATTTCTATCTACAGAGATGTGTATGTTATCCAACGACGTATATGATTATTATAACGTCTCTCAGGGTAAGATTACCATCCCAAATGTCGATGACGGCGAAGAATGTGTCTTGACTGATGTAAGTTACATAGAAACAATATTTGGTGTCCCTTGTGAAAAGCGACCAGACGTTCCTTGAACATTCTAGAACGTAGTGATTAGATTAGATACCCTCCGACCATTTGTAAAACTGAAATTATTGGTGACAAATGGTTCAATAGACCCCGAAAATATTGTATGCTCGCACGATAGTGGGTGCTATATTGTACCCGTACCCGAACATAGCATTTCGCAAATCCTGTGCATTAGTTCAAGAATTATAGCACTAATTCCGCCTTAATGCTTTTAATCAATTACTAACAAAAATACTAATATTGATTTAATATTGTTTATTTCTTTCACAATAAAGTGTTTTTATTTTTTAATTTCATTTTGGTATTCACATTTTGAAAATTTTACACTAGTTAATTAAATTATCATATTATTTATGAGCACCTGTTAATAATTTCATTCATCACAATGTAAATCAGCTAAAATAGCTTAACCTAATATTTGTTTATACAATTGTAGCAAGCCTTCGACATTTTGGGCTTCACCCAAGAGGAGAAGGACAATGTGTACAAGATCACCGCCGCCGTCATGCACATGGGCTGCATGAAGTTCAAGCAGAGGGGTCGCGAGGAACAGGCTGAGGCTGACGGTACCGAGGTAAAAACCATTTTTACGACTTAATGATACAACAAAACGTTCTTAAATATCCGTTACGTGCAGAATGTTGCAGCAAAAGTAGACCACTCATAGGATCTAAATCATTACAGAAAGTCTAGTTTTTTTATGGAACAGATAGACAAAATGTTATAGATTTAACTTATTAAAATTTGTCTCACATATCGTGTTTCTCCTTCTACAGGATGGTGACAAGGTTGCCAAGCTCCTCGGTGTCGACTGCCAGGATCTGTACAAGAACTTGTTGAAGCCGCGCATCAAGGTCGGAAACGAGTTCGTCACCCAGGGTCGTAACAAGGACCAGGTCACCAACTCCGTGGGTGCTCTCTGCAAGGGCATGTTCGATCGTCTCTTCAAGTGGCTCGTCAAGAAGTGTAACGAGACTCTAGACACCAAGCAGAAGAGGCAGCACTTCATTGGTGTGCTGGATATTGCTGGTTTCGAGATTTTCGACGTGAGTATTTGGAGCAAGGGGATCTTGGGAAACTTGGTGTATTAGTTCCTTGTAGGTAAATTTTAAGGAACATCTCTAAGATCAAGAGACAGACGTGACCATCTGATACACCTGGATCACGTCAAATTGGAAAAAAAGAAAAAAGGCCTACATCTAGCTGTAGATAATACTTATAATGTGTAATTAATATTTATTTTCACAGGATTTACTTAGCAGGTAGCACAGAATCCTTGTCAGTAGTGTATTCATATGCTGGGTTCGAATCCCAGAAAAAATTTTAAAGGTGATTGGAAATCGGGTGGATTAATGTACAAAAAAATCCACCCAAACGATTTCTTTGATAATATTATAAATTTACTTCTTTAGTTCAACGGGTTCGAACAACTTTGTATTAACTTCACAAACGAGAAACTGCAACAATTCTTCAACCATCACATGTTTGTGTTGGAGCAAGAGGAATACACCAGGGAGGGCATTCACTGGGAGTTCATTGACTTTGGAATGGACTTAGTGGCCTGCATTGACCTTATTGAAAAGGTACATAGGGTCTGCGATACCCTGGGTTGGGCGCACCGCCCGCAGCGCTATCAATGTTTTGTCAAGCTATCTCTGAGTATCCTGCTGACTAATTTTTATATGTAGCTTAATGTTTATAGTGTAGACTTGTCTTAACATTTTTTTCCTATCCATTCATCTGGGTTTCGTATTGTTTATAAAAGTTCAACGGTTTCGAGCAACTCTGCATTAACTTCACAAACGAGAAGCTCCAGCAATTCTTTAACCACCACATGTTCGTATTGGAGCAAGAAGAGTACAAAAAGGAGGGCATCAATTGGGCCTTCATCGATTTCGGAATGGACTTGCTCGCTTGTATCGATCTTATCGAGAAGGTAATAGGCCACGTGCCCGTTGCTCGTCGCCCGTCATCGTTAATGAACAACTGAAGGCGGGTCTACGTTTGGTTACATTCGCCAAGTCTATGGGGATAGATACGGCTCGTAGATGTATCGTTTGCAATCGCGACTCTATCGGGATAGAAGCGACTCCCAAACCCATCACAGTTCCTCTTGTCACTCCGTAAGGTTCAACCGAAGACGGAATGTGATCCGTACTTGTTGTATCTTATAATAAACCCCTAACATTCCTTATTAATTGTCTACCTGCAGTACAACGGTTTTGAACAACTCTGCATTAATTTCACCAACGAGAAACTCCAGCAGTTCTTTAACCATCATATGTTCGTGCTGGAGCAAGAGGAATACCAGCGCGAAGGCATCGAGTGGACTTTCATTGATTTTGGCATGGACCTTCAACATTGCATTGACCTTATTGAAAAGGTATATGGCGGCAACGCAACTATGAACGCTTGCATCTCGCCATAGCCTCCGAGTGAAGTCTTTAGATAACCTTTAACTAAAATGGATATTTAAGGATATCATTTGGAGGTGTTAGGGAAGCTAAATGCTCATTGTGTTTTGTGTGCTACCTTTGTGTGTTCTTATGTATAAAATCCTTCTACTCACATACACACTTCTCAGATACACACACATACACGCACACACAAACCACGCCACAACAATTAGCACCACTTTGATTAAGTTAGATTATTTTTTTCATGTTACGATGCAGATGAACAGTTTTAACCAGCTCTGTGTAAACTTTACCAACGAGAAATTGCAACAATATTTTAATCATTACATGTTCATATTAGAACAAGAGGAGTATGAGAGAGAAAGGATCCAATGGACCTTTATTGATTTCGGTTTGGATCTTCAACCGACGATAGATTTGATAGAAAAGGTATTAGAGATTTTTGATGCAATCTTAGAAGCTGAGCAGGAATACTGGAGGCTTCGGGCAAAAATAGAAAAGTAAAACCCGCAGACGCAATAGATAATAAAAATATTCTGACTTTAGATGCCTTGCACGCGGTAATTTACAACTATAGAGACGATTGTTAGATAAAATTTCTGATGTAGTTTTTACATTCACAATATTACTATAGTTTTCTACACAGCAATTAGTGAAGCACACAAACAATACTCAAAGTAACATCCAAAGAATGATAATAATAATATTCGCCTATAAAATTTGCAAAATGCCTTTTTTCGTAGATTACCGGCTTTTCTCATAGTGATTGCAAATAATTTAAAATATCACGTAAGTTTTATTTAGCACAGAGGAAAATAAATAACAGTTTAAAAATCATTATAATATTTGATGGTACAACACACGCACAATTTTCTTCTATTCGCATGTTGCTTTTTATTTTAACGCATAACACTTTTAGTATTAAGTTACACAATACAATTTCAATTATTATGATCAAAAAAAAAGTATATACAAAGTTAAAACAAAAGAATAAAGAAAGTAATTCACAATTACATATTTTATTACACATTCAAGTTGAATTTCTTGCAAATATTTGATACACTATTCAAATCAGACAATTTAGGAAATACAGTTCATCGTCTAACGTATTCCATACGTTTTCAGCCTATGGGTATCCTCTCCATTCTTGAGGAAGAGTCTATGTTCCCCAAGGCCACTGATCAGACCTTCGTTGAGAAGTTGAACAACAACCACTTGGGTAAATCTGCTCCCTACCTGAAGCCTAAACCCCCCAAGCCTGGTTGCCAGGCCGCCCACTTCGCCATCGGCCATTACGCTGGAAATGTAAGTATCTACAAGTTCCTAAGAAATCAAACCTTAATCAAGTAATAACTACACTACGATTGTTAAGAGTAGATAATACACACCTAAGAAATAAAGCAATAAAGCTAGTAATTATGGAGTAACATAACGTCTGTCAAATTCCATTTCTCCTGCTAAAACAGGCGTTTCCTAGGAACTCTTCGAGTAAAACAATTGTTTACTTATATTTTGTTTGTCTGTTGAAATAGGTCGGCTACAACATCACTGGCTGGCTTGAGAAGAACAAGGACCCTCTTAACGACACCGTTGTCGACCAGTTCAAGAAGGGCGCCAACAAATTGTTGGTTGAGATCTTCGCTGATCATCCTGGCCAGTCTGGTGATGCCAGTGCTGGTGGTGGTGGCAAGGGTACGTGTTAATTTCAATCATGAAAACTTATCTTATTTATTATTATTTAATTTATAATTTTCTTTCAAGCATTCCCAGGAATAGTCTTTTTTATATTATTTTTATAAGAAACACACAAGTGCTGAAGGAATGGGTACGTGAGCTGTAAAACACTTCTGTGAACATACGATAGATATTAAAATCATATTCATTATTGCACTAATATTTCAGCTCTATGAACATAATAAACATCATAAAGTTGATCGTACTTACAAAGTACAACAGTAAGCCGATCTTCATTAAAACATGTCAAAAAAAGGATGAAATCTTTTCAATACTTTGTCATATTACTTACTTCTTTTTTAAACAAATTAGGCGCTGGAGGCAAGCGCGCCAAGGGTTCTGCCTTCCAGACTGTGTCATCACTCTACAGGGTAAACATAAATCTCCCTTTCGAGATTTGCTTAAATGTCTTCTATGTAGCTTTATTGTCTTCGTCTACAACACGCTTAGGGTTGGTTTCAGATGCTCATATCGTCAATACGATTGCACCCAGAAGCCAGTCCTCTATGCTTTCACATTAATCACTTGTCCACGTCAATGTATGTTTTACAGCACAGCTCATGTTGCCGAGTGTCCTGTCGGTGTATCTACGAGTCTTATTGTCAAATGTGTAGTCCCTGTGACGTTCTTGTGTCCGTCCGTTTTAACTAATCTTTGCTTGTAAATGTATATCCATAGGCGGTCGCGGTAAGAAGGGCGGTGGTTTCGCTACTGTCTCCTCCGCATACAGGGTACTTATGTGTTTATGATTTTCCTTAGTTGGATTTGATTTTATATCATCCTAATGATGTCAACTATTACTACTTGGATGTAGTGCATCAATTTTGCATACCAGTGGCTTTCTCTACACAGGACAGTGACGAGAAATACATGAAACTTTCGAGACCAACGAGGCAATTGTCACCTCCGAAATTCATTTATTAAATGTTTAATATTCAATTAATATCATTATCATTTAAACACGACACGCTTAAAAAGCAGTTGTGTCGATCTGTTTTATAATTCTAAAGAGTATAAAACCGGAAATTGTTTTTAAAAGTATCATTTATTGGTCTTAGTTTCGACCTACTTACTGCCGATTAAAAACTCGAGCTATTTGTGTGTGTGTTTGTGTAATTTTTGTTGTGTTTTGTGTGATCTAACCATGTTACTTGTTCATTTTACCATAAATTACTTCATGTTTTCACCTCATGGTACGTTTGCTTTTTATGTCCAAAATATATTGTCATTATAAACATGGCAATAATAAATTATTTGTAATTCAAAACCTTGATCTTAAAAATCATATTGCTTTTGACTAAAAACATGCTAAAGACAGACATTTTAATGGTGTAACTCTTATAGGAACAACTTAACAACCTGATGACAACTTTGAGGTCAACACAGCCTCACTTCGTCCGTTGTATCATTCCCAACGAATTGAAACAGGCTGGTGAGTATACAAAATCTCATTACTAAATCCTAATACTTTTACAAAAGTAACAACTTTAAATTATACGTAAAATGTTCTTCTCAAAACTGAAGAAATTTGAAATCATTCCCCGTATTACAGGAAATGTGTTAATCTTGCGAAAAGTTTAGATAGTGACGCATCGCAAATTTTCAACTGTATGATTCAGCTGTTCAAAAATAACATCGCTTTACGATACATGAAAAGTTTTTAAATGTGTCATCATTTAAAAGAATTAGTTATGAAGATGTTTATCTAATAGCCCCAGATTCTTTGGCGTTACTAATTGAAATTAGTCGGGGAATGTGTTCGATCTTTTCACTAGATAATGTTTAAAGAGAATGCTATCACTGACCTCGATCTCTTTGTTGTCCAGGTCTCATCGACTCCCACCTTGTGATGCACCAGCTCACCTGTAACGGTGTGCTTGAAGGCATCCGTATTTGCCGTAAAGGTTTCCCCAACAGGATGGTCTACCCCGACTTCAAGCTCCGGTAAGATTTTGATTTCAAAAACAAACCAATAAAATCTATTTCCAGCGCAACTCTCAACCGACAAATATTTATGATCCGTAGGAGTATTAAATAAACCACGATATTTTTGAATTCAAGGATCATATTTATTCTTATAAGTGGCGTCAACACTGTTAGCTGGTGTAAACTAAATTCTTTCAGCTCTGGAAGTTTCTATAGAAACTATTTTATTCTGGTATTGCAGCTGACTTCTGACGTCATTACAATATGTGCACGCGACGGTGAGCAACCGTTTCTAAAATTGTTTCCTCATGTAAACTCTGTCTTAGACTCCGCACCTGGGGATGGCGATGAGCAATCGACTTTTATTAGCAAGCACCCACCACTTTTGAAATAATAACATATTATTATAAACAGTTACATGATTCTTGCTCCCGCCCTCATGGCTGCCGAAAGTGATCCTAAAATAGCAGCAAGGAAGTGTCTGGAGTCTGTCGAACTCGACCCTGAGAGTTATCGTATTGGTCATACAAAGGCAAGATAGTAAAAGGATTAGATTATGAATGGTAGTGTTGACTTAGCATGTTAAGACTATAGCACGAAACTCTAAAAAATAGAGTGTAATTACTAGTTTACACAGTTTGAATTTTTCTTCTACATACGTATGGTACATTTGGAATTAGGACTTGAGTATTTCTTCCTTAGTTATTAAATCCCACATAAAGGTATACAAGCAGATACTGATACAACTATAAAACATGACAATGAGAGTCATGCTGTTATTTTTTCTCCTTCGACACCAAAAAGCTACGACGTATATTAAGCTGTATGAATTTTCTATGACATTAGCTTATCGAGTGCGTGTATATTTTGACAATGTAGCTACAAGATCCTGGCTCCTCAAGCTGCTGACAAGGAGACCGATCCTAAGAAAGTCGCTCAAGTGATCCTGGATGCGACGGGCTTGGACCCCGAGTCCTACCGTCTCGGTCACACCAAGGCATGTCTACAGTCGGTTTTTGTAGTTTAGCGGTTTGACATCATCGGTTCGAGAACACCCGATAGATCGCAATATCCTTACCCGTACCGTTTGGGGCACAACTTGACAGTGTCACAATGATCCTTAAACCTTAGTGTACCAAGGTCGCTTTCCTTTTAGAGCCCACGCTACACAGGCTCGTTTGGTATCCTAGTGTTATATCATGTATTTATTTGTTTTTACAACTTGTGTGCTCCTTAAACGCAGATACAAAATTCTGTGCCCGAACCTCCTCAAAGAGCCAATTACACCAGAGAAAGCCACACAGAAAATTCTCGAACACACCGGCTTGGATTCAGAGTCTTTCAGGCTCGGAAAGACCAAGGTAGAATACCGTGCTTAAGAAAAGTAAAATGCATGCATTCAACACAATTTTTTAAATGCACTAAATGTCTGTAGTTCCACCCTGTCTCTACACCTTCCTGATGTATGTTAAAATAACATTATGTTTTCAAAATTAACACATATATATTTAATTTATTTTGTATATATAAAAATGTTTTGTTACTATAAAATCGTATATATTACTAAACCGTCTACGCACTCGACGCATTACTTTAACACTGAATATGGCTGAGCAGGTGTTCTTCCGTGCTGGTGTCCTGGGTCAGATGGAAGAGTTGCGTGACGATAGGTTGTCCAAGATTGTGTCCTGGATGCAGGCGTACATTCGTGGTTACTTGTCTCGCAAAGAGTACAAGAAGCTCCAAGAACAAAGGTACAATTGATTAAAATCTACATACCTCTTACACTTTGTATTCCGCTATTTTATTTTATGAGTGTACTGACATACATGGATATTTGTTAGGTTGGCCCTCCAAGTGGTACAACGCAACTTGCGCAAGTACTTGCAGCTCCGCACCTGGCCCTGGTGGAAGTTGTGGCAGAGGGTCAAGCCCCTCCTCAACGTCACCCGCATCGAAGATGAGATCGCGGTGAGTATCTCCTCCTGTGATTTATCATTATATACTGTGACCCAATAAATTCCAACACTTTTAGCACGCGTGAATCAGGAAAACGCAAATAGACTCGACCGCGCCCACCTGGCGGTTACGTGACACCGCAACACCTGCCGTATCCATTTCTGGATTCCGCCCCCCACTCGCTGGCGCGCGCTTTTTCCACACTCGATGTATAACGTGCGGGGGCGATAATCCCGACCGCTGGAAATCTCCAGCGGGGCTCAGTAGCGGATCGGTCGGCGGCGCGCGCACCACCCTTCCTTACCCAACGAACGAACCGAATTACATTCCTAGTCTTAGTTCATGGTGTGATCCATTAAATAACGATGGCCGATAATCACGTGTCGGTATGGGACGGTGTGGATAAAAGTGGGGACCGTTTACAGAAATTGGAGGAGAAGGCACAGAAGGCCCAGGAGGCTTTCGAGAAGGAAGAGAAGCTCCGCAAGGAGGTTGAGGCTCTCAACGCCAAGCTGCTTGAGGAGAAGACCGCCCTGCTTTCCACCCTTGAGGGTGAGAAGGGCTCTCTCTCCGAGACCCAGGAGCGCGCCAACAAGCTCCAGGCTCAGAAGAACGACCTCGAGAACCAACTCAGGGTAAGTTATGCCATAAGATTATTATAATATATTTTGGTATGAATTTTTAAAATAATTAGTTATCCTGTAATCAATATATTTCATCAAAAGATTTTGATATTAAGAATATTTTCACATTTTTTCAGACAATCCAAAATGGATTACAAACTTATATTCTAAAAAGAGTTCGTTGTTGATATTCAAATTCGTTCAGGTGAAACTGCTTACGAATCAGCTAAACCTTGTGTTTAGGTTATGGCGGTTCATTAAATAAACACAAACTTCGAATACGAAACATTTTCCGTGCGTCTCTGGCCCACATGCGCACTTTATTGCAACTTTTATTACTTGTCTATTGTAATGATAGACACTGCGCAGACACTCTTAGCGGATGTGTGGTAGTAATTAATATAATCGTTAAGCAAATTTTGTAGCAATAATTCTTTATTTAGGACACACAAGACCGCCTCACTCAGGAAGAGGATGCCCGCAACCAGCTCTTCCAGGCTAAGAAGAAGTTGGAGCAGGAGGTCTCCGGCCTCAAGAAGGACATTGAAGACCTCGAGCTGTCCGTCCAGAAGTCCGAACAGGACAAGGCCACCAAGGACCACCAGATCCGCAACTTGAACGATGAGATCGCCCACCAGGATGAGCTTATCAACAAGTTGAACAAGGAGAAGAAGATGCAAGGCGAATCCAACCAGAAGACCTCCGAGGAACTCCAGGCCGCCGAAGACAAGGTCAACCACCTCAACAAGGTCAAGCAGAAGCTCGAACAGACCCTCGACGAGCTCGAAGACTCCCTGGAGCGCGAAAAGAAACTGCGCGCCGACGTCGAGAAGCAGAGGAGGAAGGTGGAAGGAGACCTCAAGCTCACCCAGGAGGCCGTCACCGACCTCGAACGCAACAAGAAGGAGCTCGAACAGACCATCCAGCGCAAGGACAAGGAAATCTCCTCGCTCACCGCCAAGCTCGAGGACGAGCAATCGCTGGTCAGCAAGCTCCAGAAACAAATCAAGGAACTGCAGGCCCGCATCGAGGAGTTGGAAGAGGAAGTGGAATCCGAGCGCCAGGCGCGCGCTAAGGCTGAGAAGCAACGCGCTGACCTCGCCCGTGAGCTTGAAGAGCTGGGTGAGCGCCTGGAGGAAGCCGGTGGCGCCACCTCTGCTCAGATCGAGCTCAACAAGAAGCGTGAGGCCGAGCTCAGCAAGCTGCGCCGCGACCTCGAGGAGGCCAACATCCAGCACGAGTCGACGCTCGCCAACCTCCGCAAGAAGCACAACGATGCCGTTGCGGAGATGGGCGAGCAGCTCGACCAGCTCAACAAGCTCAAGGCTAAGTACGTATTATACATATTAAAAAGGCTGTTTTTTCCTTACAGGGTCTTACTGTATTCAGAAATTTGAGACAGAACATTTAAACCTTAATTAGGTTCCCGATCGTTTTTCAATCGTAGCATATACCAATTCCAAGTGTTATGTTTTCGTTATGTGCTGATACACAATCACTTCGTTTTTCTTGCGTAAGTTACGGAGCAGGCGAATAACAAATTTGATTGCAGGGGTATTCGTTGTACAGTATAATTTGAAAGTATATTTAGACATTGGCAATGGAGTGATTTGCCTGCACTTGTGTTCGGCAGTGACACAAGTATAGAGAGTCACAAACTGATAGTTGAATATATATTCAATTAAAAATTCAGGGCTGAACACGACCGTGCCTCGTGCTACAACGAGCTTAACAACACAAGGGCGGCCATTGACCAAGTCGCAAGGGAGAAGGTAAAATGTCACCCACAATGGCATGGATGCCGCCTGGGTTGATCCTTGCATGGTGTCTCCTTTTATGGAAACAGAGCCACACAATGACAAACTTGACAATTTCACTGTCTCACTGTTAGGTTCGCAATTGACATCATAGAACTATTATTTATTTATATATTTTTGTTATATTCCAACCATTCAGGGCTGAGAAAGAGCGCTCTCAATACTTTAGCGAAGTCAATGACCTTCGTGCCGGTCTCGACCACTTGTCCAACGAAAAGGTACAAAAAAAATAAAAGAATTGTTGGCATCACCAGCTGGATAGCGCTTCGCAGCTTTTACAAAAATATTTCGAAGAACTAAATATAGATCAAACAGAACACGTGTAAACACTTGCACTATAATACGATACGAATAACATTGACCTATTAATTCTTAACCAATTTTTCATTGAGAAAACATGCACGAAAGCTATAACCGCTAAAATAAGTTGTGTTGTATTAACCATATAGTTAACGAATAAAAAATGATTTTTAATTTATTAATCAAAATATTATGCATGATGAATTTCAATTAAAATAAACAAAATAACTTATGTATCATATAACAAAATCAAAATAGGTATACTATTTTAGAATACAACCACCAATAATGAAATTAACTAACATTTTGTGACAAACAAATCAAGGTAAAAATTAAACATGTCCATACATATTAGAAATGACATTATAGGCAAATTTTATTGACACAATTAAAAACAAATCCATTCTCACCATAACTTTCCATTACTAAACTATCGTTTCTGTTAGGCTGCCCAAGAGAAGGTTGTCAAGCAACTGCAACACAACCTCAACGAGGTGCAGAACAAGGCTGACGAGGCCAACCGCACCCTCAATGACCTGGATGCTGCCAAGAAGAAGCTGTCCATCGAGAACTCCGACCTGCTCCGCCAGTTGGAGGAGGCTGAGTCGCAGGTGTCTCAGCTCTCTAAGATCAAGGTGTCGCTCACCACACAGCTTGAAGACACCAAGAGGCTCGCTGACGAAGAAGCCAGGGTATGTACATTTGCTTCAGTCAATTAAATGACGACAAATACATTGGTATCTAATAAATAAACAATGAAATAATTATATTTTATTAACAGGAACGCGCTACCCTTCTTGGCAAGTTCCGCAACTTGGAGCACGACCTCGACAACATTCGTGAACAGGTTGAGGAGGAAGCTGAAGGCAAGGCTGATCTGCAGAGACAGCTTTCCAAGGCTAACGCCGAGGCCCAACTGTGGCGCTCCAAGTACGAGTCCGAGGGTGTTGCCCGCTCCGAAGAGCTGGAGGAGGCCAAACGCAAGCTCCAGGCCCGCCTCGCCGAGGCCGAGGAGACCATCGAGTCCCTCAACCAGAAGGTCGTTGCCCTCGAAAAGACCAAGCAGCGCCTCGCCACCGAAGTCGAGGACTTGCAACTCGAGGTTGACCGTGCCACCGCTATCGCCAACGCTGCTGAGAAGAAGCAGAAGGCCTTCGACAAGATCATTGGAGAATGGAAGCTCAAGGTCGATGACCTCGCCGCTGAACTCGACGCAAGCCAGAAGGAATGCCGCAACTACTCTACTGAACTGTTCCGCCTCAAGGGTGCCTACGAAGAAGGCCAGGAGCAGCTCGAGGCTGTCCGCCGTGAGAACAAGAACCTCGCTGACGAAGTCAAGGACTTGCTCGACCAAATCGGTGAAGGTGGCCGCAACATTCACGAAATCGAGAAGGCCAGGAAGCGTTTGGAGGCCGAGAAGGACGAACTCCAAGCTGCTCTCGAGGAGGCCGAGGCCGCTCTCGAACAGGAAGAGAACAAGGTTCTCCGCGCTCAGCTCGAGCTCTCTCAAGTCAGACAGGAAATCGACAGAAGGATCCAGGAGAAGGAAGAGGAATTCGAAAACACCCGCAAGAACCACCAACGTGCTCTCGACTCCATGCAAGCTTCCCTCGAAGCCGAGGCTAAGGGTAAGGCTGAGGCCCTGCGCATGAAGAAGAAGCTCGAGGCTGACATCAACGAGCTCGAAATTGCTCTTGACCACGCTAACAAGGCTAACGCTGAAGCCCAGAAGAACATCAAACGCTACCAGCAACAGATCAAGGACCTGCAGACCGCCCTCGAGGAGGAACAACGCGCTCGCGATGACGCCCGCGAACAGCTCGGCATCTCTGAACGCCGCGCTAACGCTCTTCAGAACGAGCTCGAGGAGTCCAGAACTCTCCTGGAGCAGGCCGACCGTGCCCGTCGCCAGGCGGAACAAGAGTTGGGAGACGCCCACGAACAGCTCAACGAGTTGTCTGCACAAAGCGCATCGCTCTCTGCGGCCAAGAGGAAACTCGAGTCCGAATTGCAGACTCTTCACTCCGATCTGGATGAGCTCCTCAACGAGGCTAAGAACTCCGAGGAGAAGGCCAAGAAGGCCATGGTTGACGCTGCCAGGCTTGCCGATGAACTTCGCGCTGAACAGGAACACGCTCAGACCCAGGAGAAACTCCGCAAGGCTCTCGAACAACAGATCAAGGAACTCCAAGTCAGGTTGGATGAGGCCGAGGCTAACGCACTCAAGGGAGGCAAGAAGGCCATCCAGAAACTGGAACAGAGAGTCAGGGAACTCGAGAACGAGCTCGACGGTGAACAGAGGAGACACGCTGACGCACAGAAGAACCTGCGTAAGAGCGAGAGGCGTATCAAGGAGCTCAGCTTCCAGGCCGAGGAGGACCGCAAGAACCACGAGCGCATGCAGGACCTCGTCGACAAACTGCAGCAGAAGATCAAGACCTACAAGAGGCAGATCGAAGAAGCAGAAGAAATCGCCGCCCTCAACTTGGCTAAGTTCCGCAAGGCTCAGCAAGAGTTGGAGGAGGCTGAGGAGAGAGCAGACCTCGCTGAACAGGCCATCAGCAAATTCCGTGGCAAGGGACGTGCAGGATCCACCGCGAGAGGAGTCAGCCCAGCGGTGAGTGTCGCTTTTACATAACTTTTCGTATATTACTTTTTGCAGTTGTAATCATTTTCTAAATAATAATTTAGACAGAAATACGAATACAATGAACACTGTTTAGTGTTTTTAATCCACAATTCTAAATTGCTAAACAAAATATCTTCTCTTATTCAGGCGTCCGTTAAAGGGCGCCCCTAGATCACCACAGGAGTATAAGTAAGTGAAAAGAGTGGTTCAACCTTATAGCACCTTAGACAGTGCCACTCCCTTTATACTACAAAAGAAAAACTGATCTCATCAAGTTAAAACCGGTTCGAATCAGATCAAAAGCTTACTATGAAAAGCTTTAAAAGATCATGTTTTCTCATTTGTGGTTGTAATAATCTCTATAGACACCTTTGGTGCCATAGATCCTCATAGTTTTGTTTTCTCCTGCGAATATTTGACCCATTTGTGATTCTTGATGGGAATATCAAGTGACAAGTTTATGTTTCTCCCTTTATATCTATTATTCCTAAGCACGCGGCATGTGCCCTGCATGTTTTGGATGTGGTTTAAGTGATGTGTACTCATAGTTGTCTTTGTTTCCAGCCCCAACGTACGCGCCCCGCCCTCGACGGTTTCGGCACCTTCCCACCAAGGTTCGATCTGGCGCCTGAAAGCGATTTCTAAACGTTCCAAACAACTCAAAAAACGGACTGTACAGATTTTTCGTTGAATTGTAACTTAAAATAAAAAAAAATTGTTATACCTAGTTGAACAAAACGTGTTACGAATGCCTGAAACGAGAAACTGTAAATTAAGGAAAGTAACCATACAACCTTATTTTGTAACGCCAAAAAAACATTTACATTAGAATCTTAATCTTTTTACGGAAGGCTATTTTATAATTTGTTGATATTTATTATTATTTATGATAATTTATTACCGTGGAGTATGTATCGTGTGGAGCGGGCGGAGGGGTGCGCGCGGGGCCGAGGTTACAGAGACACACCCGCCAACCCCTCACCGGCCCCGCGAGCACCTTCCCGCCCGCGTCTCCTTTGACATCCAATAAAGCGATATCGTTGTCATAAAACATTTACCTGGTGTTTTCTTTTTTCTTACCAACCCCTTACACATTACTCTTGGATTAAATAATTGAATGATCGAAAATAAGTTTTAGTTAAACAAGATTGTGATATTTAAATGCCTATGCAATAGAACTCTTATCTAGAAGAGCAACCGAATGAAGAAAGGAAAGAAAGAACATGTTGCAAAGTTTTTTTAGAGTAGTAAAGTAATGGGTCGTGCATAAAACTTATCCATCCATTCTCACAAAGGATGTAGCAAAATGCAACCGAAATGTCTTATAGATTTTGGCTGCTATAGTTGCAGAAAGTGTGATTTTAGAGCTCCAAAAGGTCAGAAATTGATGGAATGGTATACCTAGCCTTTGTATCTTCTTAGTATCTTCGAACGGACGACGTCAAAGTCGGCGAAATCAAAATTTATGAGCTGACTTCTCATATTCAAATTCCTAAGTTCAAAGTCTAGATATTTTGTCAGGTTGCTTATATAAGATGTAAAACATAAACATTTCATGTTTAATATTAATAATTTGGCATAAATTAATTGCATAACATGCTCCATTGGGTTTTCATTAGCAGAGGGAATGACATAGTTGGCCGGTTGCCTGATCTATGAATAAATAATCTATCTAATTTTACTACCACCTAAAGGAAGTGCTATAGCAGTTGCTAGGAGTCAACATTTTCTAAATAGGTTAGTTATGTATCGTTAGGTTAATAATACTATTGGTTTTTACCTTTAAAATACTGTGATACTGACATGTTTTCCAGATTAGAATTGGCACTTACAATTTTGCAGCGCCCAGTTTTTGTCCTACATTGTTAGATCATCATCATCATCTGACTATACGTCCCCACCGAGGGGCTCGGAGCCTAACCTAAGTTACGGGTGGTCATAGTCAACCACGCTGGCCAAGTGCGGGTTGGTTGACTTCACACATATCTTTGAATTACTTCTCAGATATGTGCAGCATCACGATGTTTTCCTTCACCGTAAGAACGTGGGATAAATGTACATATGTAAATCGGAAATAGAAAAACACATTGGTACATGGCGGGATTCGAATCCAGGACCTGCAGATTGTAAGTCAAATGCTTGACCCCTGAGCCACCGACGCTCTCATTGTTAGATATTATTTATCATTTATGTGATGAAATTATTACACTCGTTTACTTTAATACTCGTTTATTACCATAAATAATTATAAATTATATAACAATAGAGTCAACTCCCTGAGACTTCGTAAAAAAATTCGAGAGTTCCCTTACTCCTCATCATCCTGTAATTAAATTAAATATTTTTACTTATTTATCAATGATGACGTCATACTTGCAGAAGAGAGTCTGAAGATTAATTTAATTAACTTTATCGATTACTTTTTCTTACTTTTAGATTATCTTTAATTATCCTGATTAGCTATCCTTAAATTACTTTTTTATGTTACTTATAGCTGATGTAGACATCTTCTGTATTAGAATAGCGTCTACTAAGGCTAACAAAATCGTGAAGGAAGAAATTAGCTATCGCCCTAATCGACTAAAAAAATATTAATAGTCTATGTCTTCTTGACTATGTTCTATATTCATGTCAAACTTTATAGAAATCCGTTCAGCCATTTAGGATATAACTCCTAACAAACATTCATCCATCCATCAGAAGTAAGATATTTTGAATTTGATAGATTTTTTCTAAAATTTCTATAACAATCATATCTGAGCGTTAGTTTTTTGCACAAGTAGTGTTAAGTCTCAAATAACTATCGCATTCAGGTATATTTTGTTATAGATATTATAATAGAAAAAAGAAATAACGTAAATTGAAGAAGAAAAAAGGCCATTTATGAAGACACAATTGTTTGATAATGACAAAATACAAGAATATTTGCATAACAATGTAAGGGGAAAAGGAAAGAAGCATTTCTAAAATTAATACTCTAAACATAAAAAGCCAATTGTCCACTGACTTGTAAACGATAGAGCTTTACTTTTAGATATAGCAAAAAACGATACAGCAGTTTTACAAGTATATTTAAAAAATAAGTCTTAAATCTCTCTTAACTAATATCTTATGATATAAGCAATAACTTCCACCATCATTAAGATGTTAATTACCGCGGTAAATGACGATGCCTTTCCTCCAATAGGTTCGGGTTCATTGACTTTGTTTTCCATGCTACAGAAATCAAGATTAGCTTCTGTGAACTTCTGGAATTTCTCTTGGAATTGTTCCCAAGTACAACCAGCTAATGGACAGAGTTCCGTAACGAGTTCGTTCATAAAGAATTGTACGCGGTACGTCTGGGTGTCTGATTCTTGGCAACTGGAAAAAAAATGCACATTAATCTCCAAGACCTGAACAAGAAAATATCGCGTATATTCGTCCGGTGGCGGCACCGACTAGTTTCGAGTCCATCGGGGGCCCTTTATCAGGATGAGTGGTACTGGTATTATTTCGCGGACAAGGCCCTCAGCTCACTAACTAGTCGGTGCCGCCACCGAACGATTATACGTGAGTGTTTAGCCGTGTTTATATATCAGTTTAGTATAATGTCTCACGAAAGTTTGAATAATTTAAGAAAATATCGCAAAATGTCTTCCCCAATTTATGTCTTTCAAATAGCATGGTAAGTTGCGAAGTTAGTTGCACAAAGATTACTGCCCGTGAACAGTCACAACCCAAAAGCAAACTACAAATGTATCCGATCTTGGTAAAAGAAGTACATTCTTGTAAATAAGTTTTAGTACGGTCCGTATTCTATTTTGGAAACACTTTAAATAATAGGTTTCAATATTAATAACGTAATAAAATTAAAAGAAGATGAAAAGTTAGAACAGAGAAAACTATTATAAATGAAAATATCAAATTATACTCATGTTATTTATGAGTTTTAACAAGTTTTCCGCTTCTACCAATATTTTTATAAAATACGGATAAAATCAATCGAGAGAGATAGAACAGGCGTCACGCCGAGCTCACGTCCAAAGAGCTTATGTTATCAAGATATGTCTTCAACAATAACTGATATAGATAATATTGATAATTTATCATTGAATCATCGTGTTCTTACTAGTAATGCATAATATTATAATAGTTGAAACTTCCTTTTAGAGTACAGATAAAGATTTTATTATATTATATTTTATAATCTAATGCCCGAATACTGAAACGTCACTCAAATATGTAACGGCGTCTTAAAAGATAAGACCACGCTTAAACTCCAATATGAAATTCTCAAACGTCAGTTAAAGGCGCATCTCAATTTTGAGGCTACTCAAGTAAGACGATGCTTACAGGCCACTCAAACCAAATTTCGTATTCTCAATCGTCACTCAGTGTCATTTTTCTGTCAAATGAACTGTCATGTCGACTTAAGTTTGCCAAAAATTTAAGAGCGGTCGTGAGGCATCTCAAATCTCTCTCAAATCTCAAATCTCAAAAACCTTACGAGGAACCATGTCAGTATCGTCATTATCATCGCTTTCGGACCATGAAAGGCCTAGTGTGTGTCGGCGAAACCCAAAAAATCCTCGATTATTTTGAAAAGTATACGGATGCGGAGTTTCGCGCAAGGCTTCGCTTGTCTAAAGAAACAGTACTGTATTTGGATACCGTCTATGAACCACCACCACCATCGTAAAACCAGAAACACAGTTGAACGGCTTTTTGGCGTTCTCAAATTCATTTCTAGCTTATGTTTATCATATATATTATTTATATTCTAAATCAGCATTTCTTAGCTTGGCTCTAAAATAGGCTTGCTAGAGGTCATCCCCATGCCTTTTTTGAATTGTTTTTTTTTGCTTTTACCTTTCCTGGAAAAGTTTTAGCAATAAATATATTTATCAATGTAATAAAAACTTATTGAATATTTATGTTCAAAATATTTATCTTGTAAGCAATATAAAATTCTCTCTTAACCCTTAAATGCATATATTTTTTTTAAAATGCCATAAATTGAGAGAGGTGGAAAATTTAACATAGATTATGGGAAAATGAAGAAATAAAACTTTTTCTTTTCTAAAAAGTATATTTTATAAAAAACTTACTGATGTGAATCTACATCAGTATGCATAACGGTTACTATTAAAAATTTTAATTGAGTACTATTCTGCTGAACGATGGTCTTCTAGTTAGGCTCATTGCAGTGTATAAAAATCTCTGAAACAATTATTTTACCGGCATTGCGCTCCTTACAGGATTGTGCCCAATCTTCGAATGCCAGTATGAGCAAACACTAGGAAAATGCTCCATTGACATAAATAAAAGAATTCCAAAGATTTTTTTAACTCCCCAACAGTAATACTAAAATATATTAAAGGGTTTTTTTTTTGCACTGCATATAAGTTAATTTCATCAACAATTTTTTAAGAAACTCTGGTGTAAAGTAATGCAAAAAACATTTATATGGTGTATCAAGTTCAGTTATAGCAGAGTCTGTTGTACTTGGTTGGCAAATTATTTTTGATTCATCATACAATATCATACAAACTGTCTTTTTTCCAAACAAGTTTCCTTTAATCAAACTACAAAATATTCATGACCTTCGTGCATGGATAATGAAGAAATAATTTTACTCAATGAGTCAGGAAAATCTTGAACCAGTGGTGGATCGCTATAGGTAGGATCTTCATGATCCTCTGCATCCTCGTCTTCTTTCTCTTGAATTATCTCTCTTGCATAAGCTAAAAAGGATTCGTCATCTTCACTTTCATCTTCCAAACCATCTTCAGAAACATTTCCGTCTTCTAAAACCGCCAATAGTTGTTTTATGTCTCAATTCTATGTGCCAATTTTCCGAAAATTCTGAAAGAATAATAATAACAATTCATGTAAATAAATTACGTATCTATAACCAAAAAGTCAAAAACAAAAATATATCCACATGAAAAGTACTTCTTGCCGATTTTGCATACTGACGTATTTCTACATCACAAGTATAAAGTTATTATTTACAAAAACTGTTATTGAATTCACCAAAAAACCCATATACTGTGTTCT